ACCAATACATATGTGATTTTTTTGTCAAAGGAAAAGTAAATTCAAATCATTAACCAACAATTTTTTTTTTAGGTAAATAATCAACCTGGTAGAAACAACCAAATGGAATTCTTTAATATTGTATTTGGTTGGAGGAAATGAATGAGCAGCGATAAAAGAACTTTTTCGTGTTAAGTATTATGAAAGCATTCCTCCTTTATTTTTCATCTGCCCAGGGGAGAAGAGGAGAGAGAAAGAAGGGATAATAACTACAAAATATATAATTTTTATTTTTAACCTTTCCAAAAATTTGGAATGGGTAGCTAATTTTTATAATTTTATATAATGAGGGTATATTGGTAAAAAGAATTTAAAAATTCCCTTTCCATTCCTTCCAACCAAAAAAAATAAAAAATATAGTGTCACCCTATTTAGAGCATCTCCAATGCTAAAAGCTATTTTTGCATGCCAAATCTATATTTTGACAGGTGCTACAGTGTCAAAATGCTATATTTTAGTAATTCTGCTCTAATTGTGCATTTTATGCAAAATGCTATTTTAGTAATTCTGCTTCAATTGTGCATTTCATGCAAAATACTATTTTTTGACACAACCATCATTCTTTTTCAACTACCATTTGCATAGTAATATTAATATTAGTCACATTCCAAATCAAGTTGTAGATATTAGAAGGAAACTAAAATTAAACCTAATTAAAAAGAAACAAAAATCTAAAATATCTGCTCAAAAAAGGACAAAAAAAAAAAAAAAAAAAAAAAACCAAAATTTTTATAATTTTTTTACCACTATTTGTGAATTAATTTTTTTATATAATTTTTTTTTTCTTTTTAAAAAATCTATATATATATTATATATATATATATATATGTATATTATATATATTTGATTATATTATCATTAAAAATATATATATTTTGAGGGCAAATCATTTCAGCCTCCCCAATTGCCTCCATCTCTATTCTCGTTCTCAACTCTGAAATTACCCTCTTTCTCTCTCTCTCTGCAACTGCAAATTACAAAATCAACAAGATTTAGAAGTTTAAAACCCATATCTTTCAGTTTCCATCGCCCGCTGTTCCAGTTTGGGTTCGCCGTTCGTAAGCTTCAGCCATTGTCTCTCAACTCTCAAGCTTGCCTCCCTCTCTCTCTGCAACTGCTAATCAAGGTCTGTAGGGGAAGAGAAAATACAAAAATCAAATAACAGAAGCAGGAGGTGGTGTTCGTCGCCTTTAAGCGCCGGTCGCTGTCAATAATGGCTGGTCGTTGCAGATGGATGAGAGAGAGAGAGTCCGTCATTGCAGATGGATGAGAGAGAGAGAGGGAGGCAGACAACAAAATATAGAAATAACTATTGCTATTTGTTTTGTTAGATTTGGTACAAGAAATGGCAAAAGTAAATTTTGGCAGCCCATATAGCAGTTCATTGAAGAGCCCAATTTTAACCCACCAGCTATATTTCGAATTGGCAGCCCATTGGAGATGCTCTTATCATTTTGCACACACATGCATCAGTACCATGAAGATGGGAGAGAGTGTTTTGAACGCCCAGGTGTGTTATTTTGATAATTTTTTGCACTTCAAGATAGTTGTAACAGGTGGGCGCTTGCCCATTTACCAAAAATCTTAAGTTATTGGATAATACTGCATACCCGCCTATTTATACACCTTTCAATTCTCATCTAGATCTGATGTAAACATTCTCCCCTACTCGAACCCACGGAATGCCCTAGTTGCGGTCAGGCCACTCTATTTATCCGAAGGGCAGACTTGAACGCCTCCGAGCCGAGCGCTTGGCATGACACCGGATTAAGGACTAACTTTGACTCTAAAACCAACGGTAACGGCTGAACGTTTGTCCATTTATCAAAAAAATTTAAATTATTAAATAGTGCTATATACCTATTCATTTATATACCTTTCAATTCTCATCTATTTGATGGAAGACAAGTTCCACATATAATAGTGGTCTAATACATAACCATAAAACTTCTCAATTTTCTTGATACAGAAGAAATTAAAAGTTTTCAAATATATATATATATATATATATATATATATATACAAATGGACCGAATACCCGGATATTGCATACTTTCTCCAGTTTAAGGTCCCATTAATTTTGCCATATTCCAGTGGACCCATTTCTATAATTTCAACACGAGAACGATTGGCCAGTTATATCTGGGTTGGATTTCAACAATGCATGGTCGGCTTTAATTGGTCATCCATAAATGTTGCCATAATGGAAGAGAACAGGAGTAATCTTTTGTACGACTTTTATGACATTCCCAGACAGCTTCTCTTCTAGAAACTCCCTTGACTCACTCTCTATGCGAACCCTTTCGGTTTTTTATTTTTTTATTTTTAATTAAAATATTAAAAATAAAAAAAAATTGTCACTGTAAATACAATTGTCAAAGTTTTTTTTTTTTTTAATCATCTACTAAATAAAAAGCATAAGAAAAAGGAAGTGAAAAACTGAAAGTGAAATGGCAGCTTATACAAGACCATAAGCGCACATCCAAGAGCCTTGTCTAGAAGATGCAAAAAGAAGCCACAATGAAGTTTCCTGCTTCTCGTGGCATATCATTATTTCCTTTTCTAGAGAATTCCAAAGAAAGTAAAATTGACATTCAAATGATTTGAAATTGGATTTAACACACTGGAAACGGTGAAGCTACGCGTTCGTGACCCATTTCATTAGATGGGGTCCTCTCTACCAGTACCTAAAGATTGGGCAACAGCGGCATTATATACGCGTTTAGAGAAAGAGTTTGCATCCCTGATTCAAGTTCTTGTTGCTGACTAAGTTGGGGGAATGGCCTTCATTGTGATTGATGCATGCAACATAGCTTTCCACGCAACGGTGGAACTGAAGGGGATTTGAATACCATTCAAAGTCTCTTCTTCCGTTTTTTTTAACTAAATGGACAAAATGTGTATTGGAACGAATATCTAAGTTCTTTGGCCTTATTGAATGAAATATGACCGATTCATATTTGTTTGACGGTGAATTTGTAGCCGCGTTCCGTAATTATAGGTGACAATACTAACGTAATTGCGGTGTAATGAAATTAGGCACATATAATCTTTAACTTAATAAAATTGATTATTGCGGTCCTTGCATGTAGTTTTCAAAATATACTGATACACAATTTCTTTTACAGCATAATTCAATACAAAAAAGGATTTTCAATGAATTTTTGAAAACTATTTAACAACTTATTCATGAATTTTAAGTCGTAGGGGTTACCAAAAAGACTTATTAAATATACTTTTTACTAAATTGTTGAATACAAATAAACTTAATTATCAAATAAATAAAAATCCATACTATATATAACATGTGAAATTATAAATAATAAAAAAAACAAAAATTTTAAAAAATATGTGATTTTGTCCGCACATAAAATAATATTTTTCATATATTTAATTATTATAAATTTTAATTATGCTACAGTAATGACTAATTGAAGGATTTTGTGTTTGATTAAGAAAAACCAACACTAATAATAACATTATTATTTATTTATTTTTTTTTCATTGGTAAGAAACACACATCATACACCCACTTTATTCTTTTAGAAACTCGATTCCTCATTATTCACTTTGAGAGATAGATACCAATGGACAGAAGGCTATTGTTAACAGAATTAATAAAATTGTATAATCTCCCCATCTTCATAGACGAAGGGAGAGGTTTAAACATCTGAGTGAGAAAAAAAATATGTGTTAGTATTTGATTAATATTAAAAAAAAAAAAGTGGAAAAAAAAAAGAACACAAAACTTGAATGACAAGAATTCTAGCTTCTTTTACCATTTAAAATAAAATCTGTTGATAGCCATATTACTTTTTCTATCTCAAAACAATTGTCTCTTTTTTAGGATTTAACTTTTTAAGAGAATAATAATAATAATAATATTTTTTATTATATTAATAGTGAATAAATTACCAATGAACAATTGGTCAACAGTAATGTGATGTTTTATTTTTTACAGGTTCAATGCAAGAAAACTAAATTGGTAATATTATCAAATAAAATAAAAAATAGTACATTACTTTTCAAATGAGGCACACTTATTCTGAAACAGATAAAAATAAAAAGTTAGATATTTATTTTGAGACGAAATGAATATTAGATAAATAAAATATCAGTATTATTAATAAAGAAAATTGGAGTAGTTGGATAGCCGTTCTTGGCAAAGACCAAGTTTAAGATTTTTTTTTTTCCATTAAGAAGAAATTATAACTAATATAAAAAAAGAAAAATAATAGGATTATCGAATGATTCTCCGAATAAGTCTCGAATTTGACGTGTTTTTATTCACTTCATTTACTCCAATACTTTCAAAAAAATAATTGTTTAACACGTTATAAACATAGCCAACCACCTCAAATTCGGTATTAATTCTGAGATTCCTTTTCAATTCTCCTATCATTACAAAACATGTCAGTCACAATAAATTAGTCTTTTATTTTTATCTATCTCAAAATGAGTACTCAAAATTAAGATGGATTTAATAAAAAATTAAGAAAACATATTTTTTCATTGACAAAAAATACACATTATTTAACAAATAATAATAATAAAATATTGTAAAGATTTTATTATTACAGTGGGGCCATATGGGACTCACATAAGTCAACAGGACGGCGGCGAATTCGGTGGTAGTCACCGTAGTCTGACGTTCAATCCAAAGAAACTTCAACTGAGACTTATCTGTACATGACGTGTGTGAAACGTTGAAGTTGAATTCTTTTTATTTTTGATTCTCTTAAAAATAATAAAATTAAAATTAAAAAATTAAAAAAGAGTTGACCGCAACCTACTTGGAATAAATTATGGGCAGTTAACCTTTCTGTGTGCAGCATGCAATAAGCCATACGCTAGGGTTTTGAAAATTCTTTTATTTTCTAAAAAGTCAAAGTCTGATGGCTCTTCTTATACACTATATAAGAACCTAAAACTTGCCATTAAAAATGGCGAACACAGAAAAACTTCAAAAGCAAATTTGCGTAAAGAGACTCTATATATTACCATTTTCAGTATGGTTAAGGAAGATCATATAATTAAGTCTAATGCTGATGAAGACTGTGTCTTTCAGGAGAATAAAAAGGTGAATTCTGACTTCCTTATTTAATTATCTTGAATTAAAGTGTTAATTATTCGTGATTTGTTATTATTAATCTAATTTTGGTGAAGGTCTTATTATATCAGTTGTAGTTTTTGATTCTTTGTATTGACGAGTTTCAGATTTTTCTAGCAAGTTTTTTCATAGGCTAGACAATCATTTTCAAAATTCATTATATATATATCCTAAATTATCATTGACTTTCCATTAATGGGTCTTCAGTACAAATTCAATTCATTCACTTATTATTGCATCTTCGTCAAATCACTCCATTTTTCATTGAATTTCAGGTAGGCGATCTGAAACATGTAAAAGGAGAGGACTACAACAGTTCAAAGCCTTCCTCATCCAATGAAAATGAATTGGGTATCGACAAACAGGTAAAGAAACCAAAAAAACTCCTCTTCATTTGCTGAAATTTGGATTAGTTTTCCTATATACATCATCCATTTAAGCTTCAAAGCAATAAATTTTTCCCAATTTTTTATTTTTTTTTTTGTTTATTTTTTTTTTTTTCAAGAAATTTTAACATTATTGCACCTTCTAAAAGTTGGTGTAGTGAATATTTGAACTACAAGTCTACAATACACCAATAATATCCAACAGGGTTTTATAATTAATATGACTTTTGAGCAATTTAATAATTGAGATCTGACGAGCTACAATAAAACTGCTAACATCATATCCAGATTCATATAGAATAGGCTAAGTTATACTTTCAAAGTCAATACATTCAGCTTCTTTTGCACCATATATTGATTGGCCAATGATGACTGCAAGTGGGTATTCATTAGTCAATTATAGAAGACATGTTTGGTTTACTATAACCTGTAAAATATATATAATCTGAAAATTCGAAAACTGTTAATTACATCTGTTTGATTCAATTTTTTTGAAAATCCAGTTAATAAAAAAAAATAATAATAAATAAATAAACTATTTTTGAATAATTATTTTTAACAGTTCTCTTAAAACAATTTTATATTAGAACCGACAAACCAAGCAAGCTCTCATTTGTTTTAAGATTTTTTGAAAATTATTTTCTAAAATGTCTTAGATCGACTTCAAATAATAGTCTTTTTATTTATTTAAATTTTCCTAAAAATTCTCCACTAGAGCACTATCATGATATGTGAGAGCGCTCTCCTAATAATATTTTCTCCTCTCTCACACACACATGCATACACATAGACATACATACGCATATAAATTGTGCTGCTTTATTTTTCGTTTTCATTTTAGATATTCGCATTTGAAATTGATACTAAAGTAGCTGGCTATGTATTTGTTCCACCCAGGATGATGAGCTGAAATCAGCTAAAGCTGAGATGGGAGAGGTTAGAGAAGAAAATGAAAGGTTGAAACAGACATTATCCCACATCATGAAGGAATACCAATCTCTGAAAATGCATTTTCAAGGCATTTTTCAACAACAAGAAGTTAAGAAATCCACAAACAGTACTGGTCCTATCCACCAAGACAATGAAGATCAGTTTGAACTGACTGTCGCGCTCAGCCTTGGAAGAGCTTCAAGTGAGCCTAAGAAGGATGATAAGAAGGCTAGTACTAATTCAAGCAAAGATAGAGAGGATGATAAATTTGACAATGGACTAGAGCTAGGGTTGGACTTCAAATTTGATCCGAATGCAACTGAGTTTACGAAGAATCCAAGCCCGGAAAATAGCTTGGAGACATGGCCACCTAGTAAAAGTTTAAAGACAGTGAGAAGTGGAGAAGATGATGTTCCACAGGATAACCCTATGAAGAAAGCCAGGGTTTCTATTAGAGCTATATGCGAAACACCTACGGTTAGTATCAAACCTGCAGCCACAAACAAATTAATTCCAGCATGATTACTTTGAATAAATTGATAGTAAATTATAATCTATAATGTGTGTGATTATATTGTGCAATTAATAATCTCAGCCTCAGGTACTTTGTTCCTTTTCTTAATTAATTAAAAATAAAAAAATAAACACCTCCCATCACACAAGATTAGAACTTAGAAGTAGCTAATTCTATAACAAATATAACAAAAGATGAAAAACAAATAAATAATTGGAATGCCCAATTCTATTGAATGAAACATATTTGATTCAAATGATTATAAAACATTAACAAAATTTTGTTGTTATTAGTCTTACATCGAAAATGAGTTCTTAATATTTTCAATGATGCATGTATAGATGGATGACGGATGCCAATGGAGGAAATATGGACAGAAAATAGCGAAAGGAAATCCATGCCCACGAGCTTACTTCCGGTGCACATTGTCACCGTCATGCCCAGTCAGAAAACAGGTATATTTTCTTAACTGCGTTTCTGTAAATCTAAAATGGCAAACTTAAAGATTCAATTTAATAATATGAAAAGAGAGAGAGTTTTGGCATGATGCTTATAGAAAATGCTTCTACTTATCCTCTATTTTGAAGTAAAAGCAGAGAATTAGAAAGAACTTACTACCAATGCACTTGGTTAATTCAGATGTCTTTTAGTATTAATTTCTACATACATTAATTGGTTTGTAACAAAACAGAAAATAAAATTATGCTTGTCAAGGATAGATGAAGCTGAATCTCACAAAACGATTTGTCCCTACAGAGACTTGAACCTTTTGTGAGCTAGGCAGAGAAGATGCCACTAGGTTATAACTCTTAGTGGCATTGTTGAAGACTAAAGAGATATATAGGGCCTACTTGGTTCAATATTTTGATAACATGTTTATGTTTTCTGGTAACTGAAAATAGAAAATTGTACACAAAAAAACTTACTTGGTTGAATGATATTTTCTGAGAACTATTTTCTAAAAACTCAGTTTAAAAAAAGGCCTAAAAGTTTTCTGTTGTCTGAGTTCTTGAGAGAGTGACAAACCAAATAGGCACGTAGTGTGCATCTCCTATAGTTTCTCGTGTTCCTAATCATTAGCTTTTTTGTTTTCAGGTGCAAAGATGTGTTGAGGACATGTCCATTCTGGTCACCACTTATGAAGGAACTCACAACCACCCACTTCCCATATCAGCCACAACAATGGCCTCCACCACATCTGCAGCTGTTTCCATGCTAAAGTCTGCCTCATCAACCTCACAACCTGGCCTTGGAGCTTCAGCTACCTCCACCACCTCCTCCGCCACCAAACTCCACGGACTCAACTTCTCTCTCCCCAACAATTCAAGACCACAGCCATTCTATTTCCCCAACTCCACAATCTCAACCACTCAGTCACACCCAACCATCACACTTGACCTCACTGCACCACCACCCACCTCCTCTCACTACTTCAACAGATCACTAACTTCAAACTATGCTTCTGCACCAAGATATTGCTCAACAAATTTCAATTTCTCTTCTTCATCTTCTTCTTCCACAGACTCAAACACCTTACAAACATCTTTGGCCAATAGTAATTACCTTAGTAATTCTGGAACAATATTGTCCAATAACAAAAGCCACATTGTTGGCTCTTCATTTATTGGAAGACAACCATCTCATGATCAACCTAATTATATGCCAAAGATCAATCAAACTCCTCATCAACAACCTTTGACAGGCACAGTTGCTGCAGCAACAAAGGCAATCACATCTGACCCAAATTTTCAATCAGCATTAGCAGCTGCAATTACCTCATTTGTTGGCAAAGTAGGTGCCAAGGGAGTCCAAGAAAGTCATGGAGGAGGAGTGATCAATTCTAGTGGGAATGTGAAATGGGGTGAGTCCTTTCCGACGAATCAGACCTACCCGGCTGCACATAATGGAATAGGGTGTGCCACGAGCTACTTGAACAGATTTCCGTCTTCGAATTCTCAACAAGGGAGCTTAACATTGTTTCCAACTTCATTGCCATTCATGACTTCATCAAACAGTCCTGTGTCTCCTGCTGATAAGGGTACTGCTGACCATATCAAGTGATGGGCGGTGGTTCAGTAGGACTTGTGCATGCCAAGATGTCAAAGCTTGCTTGAACAATTACGTACCAACCCTACTCCAAACTTTTACAAATTTTCCTTTTTCCTTTTTCTTTTTCTGGTTAGAACTTTGTACAATGAATTAGGGATTTAATTAAACTATGTTTCATAGTGAATATTTGCAAAGTTTTTTTTTTGGTATTGCATTCACAGACTTTCTATTCACATATAGATCCCTGTGCATGTGAGAAATTAAGAATTATGAATGCAATTTAAATAAGAGTGTGATTTTTGTTTTTACTAATTACGTTGTCATGCACAAAAAATGAATAGAGAAATTTACCTGAATTCTGTCAATTAATATTATATCAGTTCATAATATTTTTGAAATTTTAATTCACATGTTTTTCTAATTTTAATTTATTGTTATCTGCAAAAATTAATTTAACTTACTATTTTTTTCCTCCAATATTTAAGAGTTGGAGTAAACTGAAACAACTTTATTCGTTTTATATTTATTATTTAGGAGGTAAGGAATATGACATGTGAATTTCTCATCCACACCTATCTCTACACCTACTCTATCTATCAAACATAGAATTATCATTTATTTGAAGAGAATTGTAAATAGGAGGAAGAAGACAATTCCACCAAATAATATTAATGGGCGAGAATACAATACTGTTAATTGAAATTTTTAGTTCATTATTTTTGTTTATTGTTTATCCTTTAAATGAGTATTTATGTGTAACTTTTGTTTATTGATAAACATATATTTATAAAACCTGTAATAAATAAAAAACCAATAACCTTAAACTGTTTTTAAAAATACAGCACAATACAAAATAATAATAATAAAAATGTTGTATAAACTTGCTTTCAGCATTATCCTCCTTATAAATACAAAAAGTAAGAAAATTGAATCGCCAATAATACATATTTCTGCATCACTCCCAAAAGGGATCTTCCAATTATAAGAAATTCTACCATGTTCAGCAAAATCCAAGCCAGCCAGGCAACCTATTCAATTATATATCATGTGAAATTCTATCATGTCAGCTTTTATAAAGTGCTTGGGGGCAACAACAACGCTTCCAACTGAAGTTTTTCTCCATCACCACTCACCATCAAATCTTTTTAACTTCTTGAGTTGTCAAAATCCTGATAGTACCCACATGCCACGAAGAAACTAAACCAATCATAAAATGAAATTTTGAATTTTCCCTTTTTTTCTTTTTCTGGTTAGAACTTTGTACAATGATTATGTTTCATTTTCAAGAGAGATAATATATGGGTTTTTTATTTTTTATTTTTATTTTTTTATTTTTATGGGTTATTGCATTAATAATTAAGAAGATTGTGAATGCAACTAAAATACTACATATATGAGATGTTTGGGGGTTAATTGAAACTGAATAAGATTAAACAAAGAATTTCCGGAAAGGTAATACACTAACAAAGAATGCTTGGAGGCCCAAAACAGAGAGAAGGCCCAACCCACAACAGACCCAAAGAAATAACTGCCATAACCAACCTGAAACATCTTCATCACCAGAGAGGTTATGGCCAACCCCATCAAAAGCAAGCAAAAAGCAGGGCTGACCTGATCCGCACAACATGTATATATATATATATATATTTTTACGGAAACTCTCTTTCAACTCGACATTATTCAGGGAATAACTTTAAGATGAGTAGCAACTCATTATTTATGATCAAAATTAATGTTCCTTACATGATTTTTGTTTCTTCTAAATACTTTTGTCATGCACCGAAAATGAGTTGCAAAAATTTGCATGAATTCTGTTTATTAGTATTATTTCAATTCATAATATTTTTTAAAGTTCACCTTTTATTTTTTCTAACTTTAATTTATAAATATTTGCAGCACTTACTATTTTTCTGTAGTATCTGAGATGTTAGAGTAAACTAAAACAACTCTATTTGTATGGATGGTATGAAAATATAATAATTTATGTATGGATTTTGTTTCTTAACTTTGTTTCTATTCATTCTCCATCCAACAAAATGGAAACATCCTACCTACCATTTCTACAAGCTAAAAGCAGTCAAGATCATGCCACAGCAAGTTAGGGCTGCAACTTGGGCGGATTAACCCAGCCCAACCAAAAAAATTTAAAATTGGAACTTATATTCACAAATCGGGTTCATGTTCGAGTTAGGTTTTGGTTTTATCAAAACCCAGACATATTCGGGTTGGGCTCGGGCTCAACCCGACCCAACCGAAAATCCAATTTTTTTTTTTTTTTTTTTCTCCTTCTCTCTCCTCTCTCTTCTTTCTCTCTCTGTCTCTGCCGCCGTCCATGGACGAAACCTGAGAGTTGAGAAGGGGGCTTAAATTTTTTTTTTTTTTTTTTTTCCTCTTTTCTCTTTTCTCTCTCCTCTCTCTTCTTTCTCTCTCTTCTTTTTCTTTCTCTTTCTGTCGCCGCCGGCGTTCCTCTACCGTTGCCGCCGGCGTCCCTCGCGTCAGCCATTGATCCACAGCCGCCGTTCCTCCGCCGCTTTGACTTCCAAAAATAAATTAAAACAAAACCCATACATACAAGTTAGCAGTTGCAGAGAGAGAGAAAGTACATAGGTTTTGAACTTTTGATTCTTGCAGAAAGATGGATAAACAGAAATCTATGGGTTTTGAACTTGTGATTCTTGGTTGATTTTGTAGCTTGCAGTTGCACAGAAAGAGAGGGGGCAATTTCAGAGTAGAGAATGAGGAGAGATTGAGGCGATTGGGGAGGCAGAAATGATTGCCCTAAAAAAACATATATTTTTAATAATAATATAATCATATATATATATATATATACATATATATATATATATAATATAATATATATAAATTCAAAAAAAAAATTATATATATATAAAATTAAATTTTAAAAAAAAAAAAAAAAAAAAAAAAAGAATTTAACCTGTCAACTTAAACCAACCCGCCCGAAAATATTCGGTTCGAATTATGATCTCAACCCATGTTAAGTACAATTCAGGTTAGCCTAACCCAACTCGATTCGGGTTGAGATTAGGTTGGAGCTGGGTTGGGTTGGCCAGCCCAACTTGCAGCCCTACAGCAAGCATAGGAAACACAGAGTTCCAAATCTCAATTGTGAGATGGGAATTCATTAGCACAATTGAAGAAGTAATTTTACGGCAGTCAAGATCATAACACAGCAAGCACAGGAAACACGAAGTTCCTAATCTCAATTGTGAGATGGGAATCCATTAGCACAATTGAAGAAGTAATTTTACCGCACCCAAATTAATTACTTTATTTAACTCAATCATTTTTTTTAGTATGTGAGAACTTCTATTGTAATTCGAAAATTGATGTGAATGTCATTTATAATTCATATTATTTCTATTAAATAAATTATGTTTTTGATTATGTTATGAAATTTAATTTCTTAATTGGAAGGAAATTTTTTGGAATTTGGTGAATAATTAATTTGAAATTATACTTTATGTCACAATTTTTTTTTTTCTATTTAATTTTTTTTTTTCTTTTGTAAAAAATTAATAACCAAACAAATGAAACCCGATTTATTCATAAAAAGGAAAAAGAAAGAAATGAAACCTGATTTCACATATATATGAGTAATAAAAAGTTTGACTCCCCTTTTTCTCATAATCAGTTTTAACATTATATCTCTAGAACTATTTTTTAAAAACTTAAAATATTTTTAGAAATTACTAAAATCAACTGTTGTTGTTTTTTTTTTTTTTTTTTTTTGGTTCTACAGATCATTTCAAATATTAAACTATCAAAGACTTGAGACGTGGCCTCAGCCAGGAACACGTGTTAAACTAGTGAATTAATACAGGTCCTATATACCACACTTGATCAGTATTCTAGACTAACTATTAGGTAAATAAAATTTAGAAAACTCGTTTTGAGGCTGGAAAAATAAAATAAGGCAAGTGCACAGCAGCCCAACGGGCATTTTTTCAAAAATAAAAGGGGACTTAATGGCGTGTTTGGCAGGCCCCTAATCTCCCAAAACTTGTTTTTCACATTTTCTTGTCTCATTTTTTTTTCAGAAAAAAAAAAAATAGTAAATATATAATATAGTCCTTACGCACTATTTGGGTGACCTACAAATTGGTGACCCAAATAGTGCCTAAGACTATATTGGCCTACAAAAATAAAAAATAAAAAAATATTTTTTTTGGTTTTTTACCTAAAAAATAATTATTTTTCACTTTTTTGCCCCCTCATTTAAATATGATAATGTAGCTATTATGGCATTGTTTGGTTGACACAAATAGTGCCTTAACGGCTATATATATATATATATATATATATATATATATATATCTATTTAAAAAAAGGTAAAAAATTATAAAATTAAAAATAAAAAAACTTTTCAACTCTATAAATACCCCCACTTATTTTTAATCCAAAAAATTACAATTTCGTAATAAATATTCTGTTACATAAACGTTCATAACATCTTCAAAGTATAAAAATAAAAATAAAAATAAATATAATTTAAACATCTTCATCACTAGAGAGGTTCCACAAATGTTCAATCAAATCTTTCCTCCACTGTGCATTTGTCTCTTTGCTGTGAATCTAGAACTGGCGAGCATAGATTTGTGTTGCTAGAATCGATGGTTGTTGACTAAAAGTGGGAATTGGGATTGTATTCTCCAGTGGCGGAGTCCATCTTTCTAAATTGGCGTGCCACTCATCTTCTACGATTATGTTGTGAAGGATAATGCATGTTTTCATTATATATGATGCACAAATCTTCTTTCTTCCAAATTTGGCTGGTCCTTGCTTGATTGCCCACTTGATCTATAAAACCCCCAAAGCTCGTTCCATATCATTTAAACAGGCTTCTTGTTTTTGAGCAAATAATCTTTCTTTTGCAATGGTTGGGTGCGGATGCTCTATATCAAAGTTGCCCACTTAAAGTATATACCATCAGCCAGGTAATACCCCATTCGATGTGCATGCCCATTCACCATAAAATTAACCGGGGGCAATCGACCATTGATGATACCATTGAATACCGGAGAATGATCCAACACATTTATATCATTGTGTGAATCCGGCATTCCAAAGAATGCATCCCAAATCCACAAATCTTTTGACGCAACCGCTTCCAATATGATAGTAACCCTATGGGAGCGTCCCTTGTGCGTGCCATGTTACTCCATTGGGCAATTCTTCTACTCCCAGTGCATATAGTCGATAGAACCTGTGATACCTCTCGATTCTAGAGCCATGGGTGATTAAGTCCGAGCACAAATTCGAGGGATAC